TCCACAGCTTCTCTGAGCAGTCTGTGCCACTGCCTCACCACTCTCACAGTAAAGAATTTAACCTAAATCTCTCCTCTTTAGTTTAAAACTGTTCTCTCTCTTGTCCTATCACTGTCTGCCCATGTAACAAGTCACTCTCCTTCTTTCTTACAAGCCTCCCATTAGGCATTGCAAGGCTGCTCTGAAGTCCTTCTGGAGCCTTTTCCAGGCTTAGCAGCCCAAACTCTCTCAGCCTGTTTTCATAAGAGAAGTTTTCCAGTCCTCTGATAATCTTTGTGGCCTCCTCTGAACTGATTTGTACAGGTCCACATCTTTCTTGTGCTGGGTGCCCCAGAGCTGGATGGATGCAGCACTGCAGTGGGGTCTCAGCAGAGCAGAGCAGAGGGGCAGAATCCTGTCCTTGACCTGCTGCCCAGAGGGCTTTGGATGAACCCAGAACATGGTTGGCTTTTTGGGCTACGAGCACAGAGTGCTGGCTCATGTCCAGCTTTTCATCCACCACAATTCCCAAGTGCTTCTCCACAGGGCTGCTGTCAGTGACTTCTCCTGGACTGGTCTCATGTCTGGGACTGCCCTGAGCCAGGTGCAACACCATGTACTGGGACGTGTTGAACCTCACTAGGTTCTCACAGACTCACTTCTCAAGTTTGTCCAGGTCCTTCTCTTGTGTCAATGGCACCACTTGACTTTGTGTCTTCTGCAAACTTGCTGAGAGTGCACTCGATCTCACTGACTATTTCATTGAAAAAGATCTCCACTTTTCAATAAGTAAATAAAACGTGGTCCCTACTTCCTTTGGGATAGGCAGAGGTTAAAATAGGGGGACCATTTATTAAAATGGCCCTGCAATTTAGGTCCTGTGTTACCTCTTCTTGGTTAGCGAAAAAATCACTTAATGTAAGACACTGACAGATACATGATGGAGGCACTACAGCACCTTTTCCCTAAGAAGAATGGGCTGGATTTACCTCTACTCTTTCATTAGCCTGCCCCCACCACAATTACATGTTGACACCATGCACAGTGAACAGAATAATTTGAATGCTAAATACATTGCTGGAGGTCTCACTGAACTGCTATTAGAAGCTGTCAAAAAAGCAAACAAAACATTGTTATTTTCCATCAAGTTTTTGTACAGCCTGAAACCATAATGCCACTATATAAAAATCAATGCCTACCCTGCCTTAAGAACAGTGTGTTCTGCTCTAATCAAGCTCTCTCTTATACACAGTGACAAGTATCTGGGGAACAGTGATGAAAATATTAGGTCTACAATTACAAGTTATTCGTGAGGCATGGATTGCATGCATCAGGAACTTTGGCCATAAAAAAGGAGGATTTCACATACCTACTCCTAAATAATAAATAGGAGCATCCCCAACAAAAGTGACCAGTAGCCAGGACAAAAATTGCAACACAGCCACAAGCCAGAGCACTCAGCAGTGCAAGTCGTTCCAGAGCAGGTAGGATTGTTAAATGGCACTGCTTTTACACAATTAAGATCCTCCTATCACTCTAGGCAGGGTAACACAAATTTCAATAACAGCAGAAGACCTCAGAAAAGCTTCTTGGCAGTGGCTTGGAGGAAGGCACCACTGGGAACAGGTTACTTCTCTGTCTCTTGCAGGGTTTCTGCAGTGCCCCCTGTTCTAGCCTTACCCAGTGTCAAAGTGGTTGGCCCATGCAATGGCCCACCCCACTGAGCATTTCCACGGCAGCTGTGCCCACAGGCTGAAGGAGGAGTTATTTCTGACCACAACTAGTTTAAATTATCATTTCAGAAGAGGATTGGTTGGACAGTGGAAGAGTTTTAATACCAAAAGGCAGAGGTAAGTGGGAGCTACTGTACTGCAAACACAGCATGGAAAAGCTAAGGCATTCCTGAGAACATGGAATAAAAATTTTCAGAAATCAACAACTTCCCAGTATCCCAAACAAAACATCACTTTTTTTCCTGTGTCATTAACTATTTTAGGTTAAGAATTACTACCAACTGATAAAGTGAAGTGCATTTTAGTAAATACAGGCCTGTATCAAACATGGATCATTTTTCCTCGAGAAGTGTCACATTAGGGAACAGGTTTCAGCCAGCAGCCTGGTGAGGCTGCACAAGGAAAGCGTTCACCATCATGAGTGCAGAAGGACACCACCAATAAAATGCAGCCTGTCCTGCCACCTGAGTGAAAACCAGCACAGCAGAGAGCACACAAAGCACTTCAAAATTAAGCCCTGCCTATACCCTATTTGTAATAGTCCCAACACTCTGGGGGAACAAAAAATGGGGCATTTCAACTTATCCTCGGAAAGATTTGGGCACCCACATCTACTCAGAGTCAGGACACATGTATTGTACCATAAGCACTACCAGCATTCAAATCAGAACAGATCTCCACACACTGATCTGTCTTCCAAAATGTGACTCTAAGGATGTCAGGACTAAACTCCTAAGGCTGGCTCCTTGCTGTCACCTTCTTTGGCAGACTAGCTAGCTCATGATACAGGTACAAATCTTGAGTTTATTTGGACAGTGCTTAGAACTGCCAGTGTACTTCACAGATGACCTGAGTGCAAGTCTACTAATTTAAAACAAACAGATTTCAAATATTTTAAACTTTTGATTTAGCAGGCACATTACTTCGTGTTTCAGAAGTTCACCATCTGCTGGGTTTACCTTTTAAGTCTCTCCACACTCCGGCTGCGCAGCCATCTGGGATGAGATAATTTGAACAGCAGACTGTTTCCTCCCATGTTACTAGAGAGGAAGAGCAGCCAAGCATGTATGAATAAAGTCTATTTCATTCTTTCAAACAAAGGTGGAGGAGGATGATTTGAAAGCTTTAAAAAAAAAAGGGGGGGAGAAAACTAAAAATGGCAACCCACTTTCCATCTTCAACTGTACCATGACTACCAAAGCTGAGTCACAGTTACTATTGATAAGCAGGAGGGAACAGAGCCTGATTACAGATCCTCAGGTGAGTCCGCAAGGCTGACAGCTAGAAAGCTTTTCCATTTGCAAAGCAAAAAGGAAAGAAGTAGAATCAGAGCAAAACAAAGAACTTCATCTATGCACATCTACACAGTCATTTTCACAACTGGAGCCAGCTAAGACCTTAGCAACTCTTGTTCATCTGCTGGTGCAAACACTGAATGCATCTATGTGGACTCAGGAGAATCCACATCTTCTGCACTTTGTTTAAGAAAAATCTCATTAAAATACTAAATGCCAGCATCTTAAGTTAGACAGACACAGAAGGAACTTTAATTATACAGCATGTTTAAAATGTATCCTCTCACTCTTCAGTGGCTTTGAAACAGTGAATTTCCTATGTTAATTTTCCTAGAATAAGTCACAGCCACCTCAAATCCTTCGCTATTCAAAATCATAACAGGCACAGGAGGCCCTATGACAGCTTAAAAAAATCCCAAAACCTCATTTCTATGTCGATCAAGAACTTTGCTTTGTTCAACATGGTAAAAACAGTCAGGAGTGATGGCAGAAGTGGCAACACTTAAAAAGGTTGCATTGTAACAATTCCCATGCAAGGTCCTCAAAAGGGAGCTGTGCAACCACTTAAAGAAGAGGTAATTCCGCTCTACAGAAATAACACTTACTGTGTCATTGTCATCTCTTTCCAAAATCTTGACAAGCCCGTGCTTCACGCTGCCTGTCTTGTCAGAGGGAAGCACCACAACAGACATCCTACACTTTGTCAAAAGAGTAATTCTCACCCAAAATCATCGTAAATTTGCATGACAGCACAAAGGTGAATTTGGAAGCAGACAACAGAAGGCTCTGAGGCTTGCGTGCCTCCAACAGTGCATGGCTTCACTCATTTTATAACACCAGCAACAAAAGTTTAGTAAATCAGCCACCAAGAGGAATTCTTTTTCCACCTGTTAAAGATCAGTTCACTCTAAAAAATTCTCACACACAAGCATGTTAAAAATACTCATTCTCCACAGGAATTTTCACGCTAATGGACAGTCTCTGAAGAAACTACTCATTGAAATAATTTTAAGTAGCAGTAAGTGGAAGGAAGAACAGATCACCCACTCCATATACAGTGCTGGGGGACCACAGAACAGCCAGCCACAGAGCCCACACCCTGGCCTACAGATCTGTATCTGGCTCATGCTGATATTCTCCAGGAGCAGGGCTCAACTCCCAATCCATGTTTTGTCATCCAGCCTTTCACTCCTCATAGGCAGGACCATAAAACCTCCTTGCTGAAATCCTCTCAAAAGGCAAGTTTGAAAAGACAGGGGATTAGGAAGCAATCGATGAGAACTGTGGCAAAGCAACAATTTACTCAGCAGGGCTGTCTTGATAAAAATCTGCTCACTGACAATTTCTGTCTCACCTTTGTTATTAAAGCTCACCCTTCCCCACCACCTCAGGCTCTCAGTGCTGGCAGTCAGAGACCTGACCCAATCCAGAGTCCCCAGGGAGGGACACAATCCCAGTGGCTCGGCAGACTGACACTGCTGCTCAGGGGGAGCTCAAACCCATGTACCTTGCAGTGCTGCAAACACTCTCCAGGAGGAAGTGATGGAGACAAGTTTCATCTGTTCCTTGACCCTCAACAAATTGAGGAAGTCTCTAAGTATAGTTCCTGGGGTGTTCTGAAATAAGACCTCACTCCAAGGGAAAACAAGCTCAGTTCAGGATTCAGTTAACGGAACTGCCTCAAAAGGAGCACACAGCTGCCTATTGACCAGACTTTTAGGAGCTGTCAAAGTTTAGCCCACTTGGCCTCTAGGCTGGCTGTGATCACAAGGAAGAGCAAACAGTCATCTGGCCAGCTGCTTGATCTACACAGAAACAACTGGACTGGATAAAGGAGACGGTTCATTTTTGTAAGAAACAATATATTTTATTTTTCTGACACCACAGCCCTGGCGAGTGGTTTTGTACCAAATTTAATGGAGGTTACACAGAACGTTTTACGCTGGGGAGGAAAAAAAAAATAACCACAAAAAAAAATCCTGGATAACTTTTAGTGTCTGTTCCACTCCCACATTAATAAAATCACTTGGGGTTTCTAAGAAAAGGAGAATAGGAAACAGTGAGAGAGAGACTACTGTAGGATGTAACAGTGTCCAAGTCCAGCCCCTTCCTAAAAGTGGGAAGAGTCCCCACGTGAGGAGAGGCTCTCCTAGATTTACTCCCCAAAATAACACAATGTATTGCAGCTGCCATAGGAGGAGACAGAAGGGGACGGAGAGAGAGAGAAGCCTATTTAATAAAGAGTGGGAGGGAGAGACAGAAGGTGCTGGACAGCACGCCATAATTTGAAAAATATGTCCTTAACTTATTATTTATTTCTTTTAAAAGATTCCCCTCACTGAACTTAAGTTCCTTTTTGTGCTTTTCATTAATACTCTGCTCTGAGGTCGTAGTTTGGTTTTTCTATACATTGGAGTTGAAGGAAAATAGTCCGAAGTTCTGAAGATGGATTCTCCACCTAAAGTAAACAGCCTAGAATCCCATTCTCCTCTCACCCCAAAGACTAAAGTCTCTGCTAAAATCCCTTTTACAATATAGTACAGTACACAAAAAACCCCAAAAATAACCGAGAGTCCTGGGAGAAGCCAGTCCGAAGGACGTAAACATACAGAGAATGGTGCAACTTGTGACAAATGGCAATTCTCAAAATACAGCTACAGATTCTCAAAGCAGGTGCCGTCACGGGATACCCAAGTCCACAAAAATAATTTTTAAAAAATAAATCTTAAAAAAAAAACAACCTGTTAAAATGAATATTTTTTTTTTCAGGTAATTCCATACATTCGAGATTTCCCAAAGCATCCTCTGGTCTCTTTTCACCTATTGCATGGCCAAACTGTACTCCTGAAGCTCCCAAAAAAGCCCTCAGGACTTGGAATCTCATCTTGACAAGGATCAGAACATCCAGTCTTATGGTAGCAGCTTAAAACATCATGTTCCCTGGGTTTCCAGGGCCTTGGCTAAATCCTCCCATGCCAACATCAGCAGCCATACCTCGGGGCCTCATCTGGGGGGGAATCATGATGTTTTGTTGGGGTCCCATCATGCCCTGCATTGACATCATCATCCCAGGTGACCCCACGGGGCCTGGGTGGCTGTAGAGCCCGGCGGGGGCTCGGTCCTTGCCCGGGATCATGCCCACGGCGGCCACGGGGTTGCTCATGAGCGCGGGCTGGCCGGGCATGGCGGGCTGTGCTGGTGACATCATGCGGTGGTGCGGCCCCATCATGCCCTGCTGCAGGAAGGCCGGCGGCCTCATCGGGTTGTGACCGGGCATGGACGGAGCCGTGCCAAGAGGGATATCCGGAGTTCCCACCGGCCCGGGGCCCCCCATGCCGGGCAATGTTAGTCCCATCCTCGGCGTCTGCTCTCCTATCATCCCCTGCATGTGGGAGAAGCCAGGCCCGGGACCCTGCGGCTGCTTGCGGCCTGGCACCTCCCCACGAGGGAAATACTGTAGTGTCTGGCTGGGCTTCTCCGATGGGATAATCCTGGACAGGTCAAACTCGGGTATTCCCGTGGCTCCAGGACGGATCACCTCCTGCAGCTCTGGATCAGTGAAAACCGAAGGCATGTTGTTTCCAAGAACAGTGAAGGAGTCTGGACCGCCAGGGCCTCCAGTCTTGCAAAGTGCTGGATCTGTCGAACTTTGGGGCAGGTTGGTAGGACGCCCCAGAGGTCCCTCTCCGTGGAAGCCCATTCCCGCTGGGAAGTTGCCTTGTCCACCGCTGGGCCCGTTGTGTGGAAATGGCACCTGCTGTGGAGGGGACTGTACGGGAGGGAACCCCTGCGGGAAGCCCAGGCGTCCTTGAGGTACCATTGGAGACTCCTGGGAACCATGCCCCATCATTGGATTGTGTGACATCAGGCCGGGTCCCACGGGGACCCCGTGAGGAGGTATATTGGGTCCCATAGCATTTGGAGAGGGCATCTGGTTGTTATGGGAAAGAGGCTGGGTCATTCCCATTGGGCTAAGGGTTGGCATTGGACCCACTGGGTTTGGACCTGAAATTCGAGGATTCTGAGAATTAATGCCCATTCCTAGGGAAGAAACAAGGAATCACATTTAGACAACAACCAGTAATAATCAATAAAGCTGTCGGAGAGCTTTCTGCAAGGTTACCAAGTCTGCACACACACAAAAATACAATGCTAGTAAAAAAACCATCAGTAGTGGCTTTGAAAAGTGTTATTTTAACCAGAAATTTGATGCCACTCAAACAGCCACCTCCCTAAGCTTGTCACTGCCCTACGAAACAGTGACAAAAGCCTGCTCCATAAGTAGGATTTCAATCCAAACCGTACTTTTACTACCTCCCTGGCAGTCTGCATGACACAGGCAGTAGCAAACACGTCTGTGACAGATAATCAGCATATGGACACTAGTCCACTGGGAAGTGACCAAAACTCCTTTCAAAACTCAGCAGTGATAAATCAGATAACCCTCATAAGACTAAGAGGCAGTGATCAATGAGGTTAATGAGTTACCATCATGAACTTATTCAATTAGCCAGCTTTCCCCAGATATATTCAGCCATTACTGTGTGAAACTCACTGCAAAGCTACAGATAAACTCATCAAGAATTCATTACCAATTGCCACTCTCTTGAAACATTCACTCATCCTCTTTTTCAACTATTAATTAAACAGGGTGGAGGTGCTACAGCCTACATTTCTTTTTTTCATGATTCAGCGCCAAAAAAAAACCCAAACAAACCCCCCAAAACCAGTGAAGCTTCTATTGCACTGCCTTAAGACAGGAGACAAGCTTCCTCAGGATAACACATTGTAGATCTGACCCTTAATCCCATGAGCAGCCTTCATTCACACAAATAATCCCAGTCTGCCTGAGGGGCAATCTCTCCCATACACAAGTGTTTTCCATGTTCGACACATTCTGAAGAATGCACACTTTCTGAACAGAAAAAAACAGTTGCAAGGAGAATTTCCACCTCTACATTTCAGAGCTGCTTCCTCAAAACCAACCCATGGCTACATATTCCTCAAGTTTTTCCCATCTCACCGTCTTCATTTGATGAGGTTTCCATAGAATCACCCTGACACCTTGTGCTTATGTTCCTTTGATTTTCTTACCTGGTACGCTGTTCATAGGTGGCAGGTTTGGGGAGCGTGCTGGAGGGGAGTCGTCATCCGAGCTGGCCACAGTTTTGATGGCATCATGATAGAGCGGTGTAGAGCTGGGCATGGCAAATTTGGACATCCTGGACATCATAATGGAGAGGGGATTCTGGGAGAGGGTTGGCTCCGGAGGCATTGTGTAAGGACTGCTAGAGGGAAGATTTCCAGGGAGAGTCGCAGGAGCAGACTGGCTGACTGTGGAAGGAGGTGGACCAGCTTAGGAAAAAAAAGAAAGGAAAAAGAGAGAATGAATTTAAATTTTTCTCCTTCTTACTGTTTTCCCTAAATCAAACTCTTTTCCCCTGGAAATCTCAAAAACTAGCAATCTTTCCTATTGCAAGACTTCACATGACTAATGCAGTCAATGACTATGAAAGGTAACCAGAAAAATAAGCCTATTGGTCAAGTTGATTAATATCTGTTATCCTACTGTATAACACATCTAACTAGAACTATCCTGAGCCTCCACAAATCCACATGAAGAATTACCAGTTTAGTCTGAAAATGTTACTATTTAATTTCCATACACTGAAGACAGACTTAGGTACCAGAGCTAGCCATAAATATCAAAATCTAAAATCAAATAAGACACAGGCAGCACAAGGAAAGCTGTAGCAGATATTATGCTGAGACATGCGAGCACATTTCTGACAAGCTGCACCAGGAGCTACAAGTAAAACTCCCTGTTTACGTTGCATTTCTTGTTTCATATAGAGATATTAGCTGCTTATTCCAGTGAAAGAAGCATTCTCTGCACCTATTAGCTTAATGTCATCCTTTGCTCTCACAAAATTAGAAGCAACTTAACTACACTTCCAATCTCCTTTGTTCTTCACCGATGAATTTTATGCCACCCAGACCAATGTGCAGATGCTAAACTGAAGCTGTACTCTCACTGAAAATTCACTGCACGTTCCTCAGCCCCTCCCAACCAAAAGAGGAAATGAGAACAGGGAATATAACAAAACTGCACTGCCGAAAGATGGATGGTTTGGAAGAGCTGCGGGTCAAAGCATTCATTAAGCACTAAGCAAGGCACAGACTGAAGCACTTGGGTGCCCTCCCGAGCCGCCGACCCCACAGGCACATCCCGGTCCTGGTCCCCGCTGTTACCCGCGGCAGCACTAGAGGGCAACGTGGGCAAAGGGCTCCACTTTCCCAGCCAGGAGAATTTCCCGGGTGGGAAGACCGCCCAGGGCTGGGGAAGCCTGGACTGAAGGGTGGGTGAGCTTTGAGAAGGTGAGGGCAGAGATGTGCCAGCACTGGAACCCCGAGGTCCAAGGCACAGCATGGTCCAGCACGCAACCAAATGTTATGTACAGTGGTGGTTACATCGCTCCAAAATGCCTGAAGCCTGAACAACTGAACCACAACTTCCTGTCTGCAATGTAAACCTGGAAAGGACCAACCATTCCTGACCCGTGCCTAGATACACAGCTGGTTAACTGCTCAGCATGCCTTTTTGGAACCTTTTATACCAAAGTGCTTTAATAACATCAACAGGATCTTCTCCATTGAGCTACAATGACTATGAGCTATGGAAGAACAGCACAAGACCCTTCCAAGGAGAGATTTCTCCCATAAATCCTCCATATCTTTTCACACCTCTCAAGCCCATCCTTTTGCTTTTACAACCTCAGAGTGACCAGCCCTCAGCTCCACACATGGTAGGCAGGGTGCAAATCCACAAATACAACACGAGGAGGAGAAGCCCTCACCTGCCACTTGCACAGCCCCCTCAAATAAGGAAAGCGCCATCCAGCTCTTGCCCTGCTACAGGAGCCCTCCTCCCCCTCTTTGCTGCACATCTTGGATGACCCAACATGAACCAAAGCACCGAATCTGGCTGGCGGAGGCAGCACTCACCCGACTCCACATTCCCCAGCATGGCTGGAGAAGACATGGTTAGAGACGCCTTGTGGTTCGGGGGAATCCCAGGGCTCTGCAAAGGAGGCTTTGGAGATGAAGTCCATCCAGGAGAAGGTGCGGGGAGAGACGGAGACTTGAGGTGGACAGGAGAAGCAGCAGCAGACCCCAAGACAGGGGGGGATTTAATGGAGGCAGCAGCAGCTGCAGCAGTGGGGCCCGCGAGCATTCCTGCCAGCTGGGAGGGCGTCTGAGGGGACTTCAGGTTCCCCGAGGGAGACCCCATCATGGGAGACTGCACCTGGCGCATCGTGGGGGACTTCAGGGGGTTGATTCCTGGCGAATGCACCTGACCAGCTGCAGAGATATCCAAGGGCTTGCGGCCGAGGCTGCGCTGTGCAGGGGGAGCAGTGTTGAGGCTATTCGGGTTACTGGTGGGATTGAGAGGTAGTGGCGGCATGTGGCTGAGCCGGTTGTTAGTCCTTTGGTCAGGCCCGATCTGTTCTCTGAGATTCCGGAGACCGACTCCTGGGCCCTGAGACATGGGAAGGAAAGGCCTGGGACCCATGCCATACTCCTGCTGCGGGTGCTCCCCAAACGGCAGCGGCACCATTTTCTGCTGAGAGGAGAGCATCTCCGAGACACCAGGGCGCAGCTTCATCATCTCTTCCGGCCCGACTCCTGCCTCCCTCAGCTTCTGAGGGACCAGGGGTGGGTTGGAGCCCATGCTGACATTCATGCCCATGTCCCCCTTCATGCTGCCGGGGCCCATCCCAAACTCCAGCTCCCTGCTAGAAGCCATTTGTGGGGGTAATCCTTTTGGGAAGTCCCCCCTAGACGGGCTCATCGGTCCTTCTACCGGCATGCGAGGGAAGATGGGGTTGTTCCCAGGCTCCATGTGTCTCTGGGAGGGCATCATTCTGTTGATCTCCATGCCGGGCCTGATGCCTTCCATGTTCAGACCAGGAGGGAGGCCCATCTGTTTCTCAGCCAGCTGCTGCTGATAGAGCTCTTCAGGCAGGCCCTGCGGATTGGGGAACCGCTCCCCTCGGCCAGGGCCACTGAAGACACCCTGACCAGGAGGGAAGTTTCGCCCATCTGGGATTTTTGGCACATCATCTGGCCAACTAACTCCTGAAAGCCCAGGCCGTGAGGCGGGATTCGGGACATTGGGGCCTTCCATGTCAGGGTTCATCATTCCTGCAAAACCAGGCAGGCGCATCTGGCTCCCGGGCACGTTGGGATGAGGGGCCATGCCCCTGGGGGGCAGAGAGTGTGACATGTTCATGCCTTCAGGGAAGGGCTCTGGACCCCCAGGTCCCCAGCCCTCACCAGGGGTCATCTGGTAGGGAGGGGGAGGACCTCGGACCACCCCACGAGGCCCGTGCTGGTGGACCATCATGTCCTGCAGGGAACACTGCTGCACAACCACCTGCTCTTGCTTCCTTCTCTTCTCCTCATAAAACTCCTGCTGCAGCTTGAGCCAAGCCACCTGCTCAGGAGTCATATGGTCCAGGTGGTCTGGGCCTATGGCTCCTGACTGGGAGTTCATCGGTGGTGGCCCCATTTCATCTGGGGAAAAAGGCATGTCCCTGTGTCCTTGAGGGCCAAATGGAGCCCCTCCATCTGTCCGAGACCCCGACCCTTTGCCTAAACTTTGGGATTGAGCCATCATAGCCTGTATCGGCCCTTCGGGTTTCTTTTGGGGACCATCCAGCACCCCAGCATTTGGGGGTGGCCCTCCACTTTGCCCTCCCGCAAACTCCTTCTCATCAGGGAAGAGCATGCGCTGGATATCTCTCAGGGTCTGCAACGAGCGCTCTCGGTGCTCCAGCTGCTCCTGTGACAGTCCATCGGGATTCTCACCCAAACTGGATGGGTCCCCACCAGACCCCTGCTGGGGAGGACCTTTGGGGTCCGCAGCAGAGCTATTGCTACCTTGGGAAACTGGGCTAACCGCTCGATTATTGGGCGTTGAACTCTGCCCAAATCCTTCTGTCTGCAACGGGGTAGAGTTGGCAGGGCTGCCCACAGACATCACTTTGCTTTCCACACTGGGACTGTCCTGATCTATGGGACATGGGGGGCCAGCGGGTTTGGATACTGGCGCTGACACGGGTGGAGTCGGCTGCATTTTGGCGTTCTGGGGAGGGTTCTGGTCCTGGGCAGCGGGGGGCTGGGGCTGTGGCAGGGGCTTGGGTTCAGTCCGAAGTGCAGTGATCTGAGGATTCTGCAAGAGAAAGCCACACTCAGTCACTTGCTCTTCTTACAGCCATGTCACATAAGCAGCAGTGCAAACAATACACCCAATCTCAATCCCACCAGTCCAAAATTTGCCTTCATGCAGCAATTACACAGCAGCCTCTTGGCAATGCAGAAACCTACTTTGCTCAAGGCATTACTGCAGGGACCCCTTTTGTCTGTGCTAGCTCTACATGACCTACAGGTTGAAAATACACTACCCAAATATTGCAGGACTAACTCTTCTTTGGATGACCCAAGACATTTATTTGCAGATGGTCTGAACGACAGCTGTCTGTCTTCCTAAAACTTATTTCAGAGTGTAAATAATCATCCATCTCTTTGAACCACACACAGGCACATTTACAATTTCCCCTTCTCACCCCCATGCAGGTATTCCCTACCAAGGGTACAGTGTTTCGTTCCGCCTTGCTGTTTGAGATGTTCTGGATATGAAAGGAAACGATGGTTTCCACCTGTCCCTTCAGCACAGCTTCTGCAGCCCTGCAAAGACAGACAGGCAGATGCAAATATGCAGTTGAAGCTAAGAATCATTTTTCTTAACTGGCCTCCTTTCTGTCTTTCAGCTGGCAAAATGGAGAAAGACTTAGCCACACATATTTCACTCTAGATGAGTAGCAAAAGAAAAATGCTTATGTCTACAAACTCATCAGCATTCAGGGGTCATGTCTCAGTTTAAGCCATCCTGGCTGCCATTCATTCCATGGATTGCAAAACAATATCCACCAGCATTTACAAAAAAAAATATATATACCCATACCTCAGAGAATTAAACAATTACTTCTCAGAGCAAAGAAGGCAGGGATATGGTCCACTCCAACCTCTTCAGCATTCCCAAAACAAGCAATGACTTTTTGCTACTTGATGCAGAAAGTGCCCTTGACAATCTCTTAAAAGATGAGCACAAACATAATTCCTGCTCCCAGAAGACATTCAAGCAGCTACCTACTTACTTGTTGGCCATCTCAGTAGAAAAGACGTAAACCACTTTGGATGGAGTCTTCTGCCCACTTGCTGGCTCCAAAGTGGCAGTCAGACCATGGGAAGGTGTGGAAGACCTTGGGGCTGAAGCATTTGAAGGAGTCATGGAGTGTGGTGTGTGCTGAGACTCCTGGGACTTCACATGATCAGCAGAATTGCAGTCTGGAAAGGGACAAAGGGGGAAAGAATGGAATCACTATCTTGGGATCTCTTTGGAAATCAGTTCTGGAAACTGATCAGAGCTTTTTCTCCTCTGAAACTTCCTGCTTCTTCCTCAAGCACCACTGAAGGCAATTCTTCTATTACACCACACATCTTTCCTCTAAAGCCTTGGTGTCCTTCAAGCAACAGTGGGAGAAAGCTCCTCTTGTGTCCCTTTCCAAGGAAAGTGGCAGTTCCCACAAATGATCTCTTTGAATTCTCTAATGACCACATAAAAAAGCAGAAAAACTACACTTTTATGTAGGAACAAAAAAAGATATGTCTGCCTCATGAAAACACTCCTGCAAAAATTTACTTTTTCTTTTGCTCAGCCACCTTAGCTAGGTGGCCTAGCAAATGGACAACAAAGATGGACAACTGAACATGTGGTCTCGTTTTGCACTGCCTCACAGAAGCAATGTTGGAGCCAGGAACAGAACACAGAAATCCCAACTCTCTGGCTAGTGTTACCAGTCAGGGTGCTACGGGTTATGTATCTGTGTTGACAAAACAGACCTGCATATTGTTAAAACCCCAGTTGCAACAGAACAGTTCCTGAAAGGCCAAAGGCCAGAGGGAGACCAACAGGTTGCATTTGTACTTTTAAATCCTCTGGGGGAGTTTAAGAGTACAAAGGAACTTTCCCACCAGAGTCAGGTCTGGGCTCTAACCGAGCGTGAACAAGACATTTACCAATGCCAGCTATGACAGCCTCTCCTCTTCGCCTGCTTTCAAGACCTTTAGACTTCATTGGCTGGAACTTATACAGAACTCCAGACAAACAAATGTTTCACTAATACTTGCAGAGCAATTCTCCATCTCACAGAGGATTCAGACTGATTGTCTGCACTTGCACATGAACCCTAGCAAACATACCTTTGATTTCCGGGTCATCATTAGGAGTCCCAGCTTCCCTCTGTTCAAAGGAGTCTGCTGAAATGCTCCTCTCTCTCTTCCCCTTCCCCTTGGCACCATTTCCAGCCCCATTCTTCAGCCCCATACTCCCACCCGGGCCTGGGAGCACTTTGGGGGTGTGACCTCCACTTTTGGGGTCACAGGGAGAGGGCTGGGATTGGCTGGTGGAGCCCCCTTGTTTGCCTTGGTTGGAAAATTTGGAATCCAGCTGAGGGTTGCCAGACGGGGACATCACTGTAGGGGGACGGACCATCACCTCCTGCTTTGATTTGGGGCTACTGGGGAGAGAGAAAAAAAAAAAGAAAGAAAAGGAAAAAGTGACAAATCACACCATTGATTCATTCAGCCCTGTAGGAACAGATTAGAGTGAAGCAGAAACAACCACTGTCACCTTTACAAGCTAAGACAATTGCTGACAAATAAAAAATGCCTGCAAGCTTAGAGTCATGCAGGTGCTTTTTTGAACATGCCCTGAAAGGGTTATTATCCAAGATGGTATCTCATTGCTCAAGAAGGCACCAGGGCAAACCACAGACCTGCCAGATCCCAGAAACTGCTGTCACATGAGGACCCACCTCTGGTGCTTCTGTCAATAAAGACAACGGTTTCTATGTGCACAGAGAAGCGCCTCACACCAAGACTAGCTCAGAGTAAACAAACAAGGCACAATAAAGTTCCCCTCACCATTCTCCTGGACCCCAATTACACTGCAGCTCTGATCAGCAGACCCCCCCCTCCAACCCCTCCCTTGCACCTCCCTATCCAGTTCTACAGGGAGCACAAGGAAAACCCAGCATTACTGCAGCATTCGTCATCCATTGGGGCGAGCTGCCAGAGAAACACAAACCTCTGACCGTGAAAACAATTAAACCAGCTACAACCTGCCTCTGAATAAGGAAAGAGAAGGATACCATCTCCAAGCACACTCCTGCAAAATGGGGCAGATGAATCCTCCTCAATTTGCCAAAGAAGACTCAGAGTCCTTCGTTCCTCTTCCATCCAGCAAATTGCATCCAAAAAATATTTTGCTCCTCTGGGCTCTCCAGGTATTAGGCACCCCTTCCCTCCTCACCCTCCACTTACTCCATTGCTATTGGATCTTCTGCATTGTCTTTTACCATCATCACTATCACTTCAAACAGGCAGTGCTTGCTAGCATCCTCACTGTGGGACTCACACAAGCTGTGCCTTCCTTTGGACAGACATCTGACTCAGAAGCATTCCCTCTGAAATACTGTTAAGCTCCAGATGACCTCCAGGAGTAAATACTCAAACTCAAGAATGCTGTCAATCAGAACCATCCTAAGTCCCTGGACACTGCTTTGCTTTCTTATTTTTCTCTTTCCAAATTAGTGGAGAAGAAATGCTGCCCTGCTGCACTGGCAGGTGACTGACACAGAGGATTTCAGTGCTCAGCTGATCAGTTCTCCAGGCTGTTCAAGCCAATAATATGGAGAAAGCATTCTGTGTGAAAGTACAGACAGACCTTCTGATGCCCAACTACCTCTCAGGAAATAAATAATTAGAAGAGGAGGAAGGAAAAAAAAACCAAGATAGAAACAGCATATTTACTCTGCTACAGCCTATCCAGGCACCTGGTGGAAGGGAGGAGAGCACAAGAACAGAGAATCCACGCCTCATGGCTTTACAGCTTTCAGCTCATCCTAAGCTTTGCAAACATGGAGACTACCAGCACTGTGCAGCCACTGCTCAGGTACTCAGCAGGCTGGTGTGTGTCGCCCTGATTTTGTAAGACTTTGTTAAGCCTTCTGATGTTTGTATTCTTTCAACAAACTTTCTCACACACAGTTCTGTAAATAACCTATGTTTTGCATTCTTTCATGGAGGTAGAGAGAACTGATGGACCCTTGGTCTGTCCAGTGGCATTGGAGAGGTGGCACTGTCACCCTCCAATCCACTGTCACCTTGGGAAAACTATAAATGTTGGAGTCAGGAAATAAAGGTTCTTCTTCTTCTTTTTTGTTCCCCTCGAGAGCAGCAGTATCTGTGTCATCATTTGGTGTCTTATCACAACAGGTGTGTGCACAGAGGGACCAGGAAGCCACACTGCCACAGTCCTTGGGCTAATCCCCTAGCAGAAGGGACGGCATGGTGCACCAACCCACAGCAGCTGACTGCAGACTCTTCCTTACCTCTGTGTGCTGCCTGACGGGGAGTTCCTCACTTTGGGGTTACTGGAATGCATTGACAGAAATCCTGAGCTCACAGTCTCACACACACGCAGATGGGCTCTCGTCAAGTTCCTCTGGGGAGCGTGCCGCCAGAGGCAGCGTCGAAGCACTTTCTGCCACCCGCTTCTCTCAGTGCTGGCTGCCTGATTGCCTTTTTTCTCTTTGCTCCTCGCTGCTTTTGCACTGGGCACTTCCCTCCTGCAGCTCCAGCATTCTCTAGATGCGTGCCTCCTGCCGCCCAGGGGAAGTCTCGCATCTCCAGGGCACACTGCAAACCACCCCACAAGGAGAGAACAGAAAACCAATGAGGAACTTCACACCAGACACACATGCGTGGCAATTCTTCCCCCATTCCAAAGAAGACAGAGAAGAAGAGCTTTCAGACAGATGTGTATTTCAGACCAGAGGCAGCTCTGGCTGGCCATTCAGTTTACAGGCAGTGAGGCCATCTTCCCTTTGTCCAAAGCAAATCATTCTGGAATCAACAAAACAGGGAAGCACCTTGTATCTGAGCACTTCGATTCTGCATCCGTGCTCAATTTAAAGACACCTCACAGGAACTCAGTAGGAAGCCAAAAGTACAAATCCCCAACATGACTTAGCTATCCAAAATTCTCCTGTGAATGGCCGTAATCTGATATTTCTTAAGAACATAAACTCTGCTTAAATCTTTTGTCTCTTTGGTCCAATATACCTAGACACATGTTCAATGATGTGTGGTAAGGGTTACACAAAGGGAGAAAAAAAAAATAAAATGCCTTCCTGACCACCTGTAAGTTACTGCTCTGTGTCATTACTCGGAAAACATGAGGGGTTAGTCACTCATCATATCTATTAAAAAGGTAAAAAAAGCACTGGAGTAGTACCCAGCTAAATTTGCTCAGCAACACACTACACATTATTCAGGCATAAAAAAAAAAAAAAAGGCACAAAAAAAGCAGCTGCTTTTTCAGCTTCTTTCTAAGAAACAATACGCATGACGCAGGCAGTAAGGCACATAAAGCTGTTTCTGTAGGTGGAAACTATTGAACATTATTGTTTACGTGCTTTGGGCTAAATTATTTTGGAACAAATTTCTGTCTTGTTTACGGTTCAACAAAATCTCTCCTGTTCATCTCACCTACTCAGATGCAAATCCACTTAATTTAGAATCTAACCAAGATTTATTGTTAATGTATTAAGCATCGCTAGTTAAATATTATTCAAATGTAAATATTCCCGATATTCCTTCTCAACACCAAAGAAGTAGTTTTTTCCTATATATACCAAATGAAACAAAATAAATCTTATTAGGATGGGAATGTCTTGAATTTTATGAAGAAACTACTGTACAAACTACATTTCAAAACAAAAAATTGGCTTATGTGCTGATGACACCAGAGGATTAAAAGACATGGGCACTCTATGATCACCTCTGGCCAAGTAAAGTTATCAGCAACTTGTAGTATTGAGCACCATGGTTTTTCAGTTCCCCAAATTTGTACAGTTGTGAGGTTGTGCTGTCACACATCTTAGTGACTTTGTGCTACTCTGCTTTAACATGATCCACACTGCAGCAGTTGTGTGAAGTTCTGCATCACCTACGAAAATTCTCCTCTCTACCACACATCTCCTAAATGAGCCAGAGAAGTAATCCTACTGCCCATTCTCATATCCACAGTGCTGCACAAATCTATTCATGTAGGGAATGTCTCTGCAACAAATGTATCATTTTAAAGGCCTCTTATCAGGCATAATCAGATGAACTCCAGTCTGAGCCACACTCTCCAGAGGACTCACATGCCTCTTTGGGGCTATTAGCTGGTTATCCCACTGATTTTGGGAACAATGTTGGAGTTACCCTATCCCTATTGTTCCTACTATCATGTTGCAATTACAGCTGGTTCTATTCAGATACATTAAAGAGGAAAGAGAATCTCTTCACACATATCTAAACTGTATCATCTTTGCATGCAAATTTGGCTCCTATGTCTGTTTTGTTAAATAAAACTCTAACATTATCAACAGCACCCAACTCTGCTTTCCAAGAGATTGACACATCTGTAAAAGACAGTGGAACTCTGTGAAACTTCTGCACTTCTTCACTTAAGGTGAAGGTGTGACTCAAAATACAGTGAATTCCAGGTCAAAAAAAAAAAAAGAGAGAACAGGAGTAACAGCATAAAAGTGAGCAGAGCTTGATGCTTACAGCAGGACATTGATGCTTAGCTTAAGTTAAGCATGATAAACTTAAGTTTCCTGGTTGCTTAATCCTCAGCTTTTCCATTGGGATATTTATACATTATGTTACCCTTTATTACAGGATGAGAATTGTCTCATTGGTCCCAGTCTTGCTCAGTGCAATGAGAAAACATGAGGAGAAGAATCACAATCACACTGGCTACATGGTATTCCTGACATCACCAAACTTTCAAGTACTTCACCCAGGGGTGGGAGGAGAACCCTCCAACTTTTTAACCTTACCTTTTTATTATTCTATATACACATCTTCCATATATTAAAAGCGATGTGCTGTGCAAGGGAACTGTGTTTTCCAATCTCAGTTTAAATTTATTCTTACCAGAGAGAGCTATAAAGGATACATCAATATATTCATTGGAGGAACAACAGCAACTCAACTTCCTCAGCTTCTTATTTCTGCACACGGGGAATGTACTATCTTTTATAATGTGAAATGGAATGTCTCATGATTTTTCTCAATGCACTTCTAACACATATATGCCTCGGAATCTAGGGTTCAATAATGGAAAAGCTCTAGAGAAATGTATTTTTGCAGCTGGAATCTGCCTGCCACAGCAAAGCCCGTATCATTGCTTTAAAATTAGAGGTAGGGTCAGTGACAGTGAATGGTCAAACCACTTTTCAAGACATTTTGGAAAGCTACATCCAAGGCTGTATTTTCAGGATGGCTTTAAGGTATGGCAGGCAAAGGTTACAAAGAAATGGGATAGTTCAGCTGGCTACTCATTCTCACCACATCAGGGAAAGATCTGAATGGGAACTAACACAAGGGGAACACCAGAAATTTCTATTCAGCTGGATTTTCCCCCTGACCTGGTTGATCATGTAACCCCATCACTATCATTACAAGCTCAGAAGAGGAGGTGAGAACAGATGAAAATGTAGCCCCACCCCACTTGCTTGCAGCCTACAATTTGGATGGCTTTAAATTAATTCAAATTTTAACTGCAGAGACAAAACATACGGATCTGCATTTGTGGAGATATTATAGATCCTTGTTTTTCCAGCAAGTAGCTTACCAAGACCCCTGGTGTCACGACACTGCAGTACTCATCGTGGAGGCCATGAGTTGCAAACCACTTGTCTCACAAAAAACAGTCACCTGGAAAAAGGAGAGAAAAAGTTTCACCAACAAGAACTCACAGCCAAGCTGTGCACCCCTTCCATGCATTCAGAGAAGCAGAGAAATCAAAAGCTGCTCTGAACCACCAAGGGGAAGTCTCTGCACAGCCTTGAACTATTTATCAGCACCCAAGAAGCCACCATCAGACTGGAAGATTCTGAAGATCCATGCTGCCCATGGAGGGGAAATAGGGCATACCTACTTTAGCACTCCCAAGTTTAGCCAGTTGGATTCTCATGAGTTCATCTGTGCTTAGAGAAGCTGGCACAAAGTTTGGACATGTCACCTTTCCTTCTCTGCACCCATCTCTCTTCAAAAGCTCACCTTCCCCTCACAATGTGCCCAGCAACTCCTGCCAAACCCTTGTGCTTCATATATGCAACCTCCTCCACAGCCAGACAATGTATAAACAGAAACATCAAATATCAGGTAAAGGCAGGCAATCACATCTAGGGGAAAACCAGGCAGGTTTTAGAGGGAGGAAGCACTATCTACTGCTCTGGCAGTTCCTACTTCACATCACTGCATACCCTACAGGAGGAAGGGAATCCAAAGCAAGTGTAAGTGCCTGAAAGTTCAGCAATCCAAGGAAATGCAGGCTCTGAAGAGCAGCTTACTGCTAAATTTGAGGTTAGTAAAAAACCCAGCAGTGACCTGCCAGCTTCTCCCTCACCTGCTGTGAAAACTGTAGAGGCTGCAAGACAGTATGAATCCAGACAACACTCACACTGCCAGGGCCAGTGTGGTATCTCAGAGCACTCTCAGCTATTTACACAGCATGGACAGCCTTGCAGTTAAAGTACAACTGCAAACTGAAATCACTACCAAAATTTTTCTGTGTAATCCCAATGCATTCTGCTGACCAGATCTCCTGACAGAAACACAGGAGCTGGAGGCTCAACTAGTCATGCATTGTGAAAGCCTGTGCATATTCTCTTCCCTCCAACATTCTCCAACTATTATCTACTGCAGCTTCACCTTAATAATGTAGCAATGTGCTGCCATGTAATCCACTTCACAAAACCAAACTACAAAGCTAGTCCCAAACAATGCAGCTACATTCTCCACCCAGTCCAGCCAAATCAAACAATGAAATCATCAAGTGATAGACCATCCTTATCTAGCCAAGTCACACCTGCAGACAGAAGCTGAAACAAACACCTATCGCAACAAGCTGCTTCATCCAGTAAAACTCACCACAGCAGCACAATCATCCCTGAATCCAATTACCCAGTTATATCTCCTCTCCCCTTTCCCCCACCCCACCCAACAAAACAATACAGGCTAAGCCATGCTAGTGCCAATACTGACACACCTCTACCAAAGCAGGGACAGAAATCACCTTTTCCCTTGAAGAGGAAAGTGTGTGAATACCAGCACACATCAGGATGGAGAGAATCTACCACAAACATTGCTCAGAGCTCCATTCCTCGAAAAATTCAATCCCAGCTTGGCAAGGAAGGACAGCCTTGCAGACCATAGCTCAGGATTGCAAGAGGGGCACCATCCATCTTTTAGGCTACCCAGTTACTGCACTGTAATTCCATTCCCTAGTCTCCCATCTCTGCTGCTCACCTGTGCAGTCTTAGCCCTGTCAGCACAAGGCAGTTGGCTTCACAGTGAATTTCAGGGCAAAAGGCTGAGAGCATGCACACAAACCAGCTAGCACAGAGTACCCAATAAGATGTAAATGCACATCTTAGTCTACCTTTCAGTTAAATATTTTGACCACCCCCGTAATTCTACAAACCAGCCACCATATTACTGTACTGCAAAGAGAAGGTTTAAAAAAACCCCAAACTAGCTAGTTCCTATTGAATGGCCTTAAGCTGAAGAAGCTTGATAGTGACAAGTGGTCAAGTACTTGGAGATATACAGCATTATGGCTATTCCAGCAGGAACAGCTGCAGTTATCACTGATTCACTTCAGTCTTTTCTCCCTCTTTGAGGAGGAGAATGTGGAGAGATGAAATAAAGGCATACCAAGTAGATAAAAGTATCAGACTTGTGGCCTGACTGTGACATGAAGCATTAAAGGCAAGAAACCTTTCTCTGCATACAAGAAAGAGCACACTGCTATTTTCCCCACGGCCTTTCTGAGACTGTCAGTGTCTGCTGGACTGAGGGTGGTGAGAGCTCAAAATCAGCACGGAAAAAGAAAAAAGGCTGGAGACCTGCTGCTGCAGAAAACAAATGATAACTCTGAATGCAAGCTGAGCCTGCACCCTGAATTGTATCTGTGACAGTGGAGTGGGTAAGGAAGGAGAGAGTGGAATAAGGGATTGCTCAGGGAAGAACAGAAGCTTTAGAAGGAACCAAGAATAGCAGCAGCAGGAGATATCTGAGCAACCGCTGATCCTGACAGCCACCAGGAAGCAAACTTCAGCGAGTGCATCCACCAGTGGATTCCCAGTGCGAGCTGAGAGGTGGGGCAAGGCAGTGAATCAGCCAACGCGCTCCTTCAGCACATTTTTACTGGGAAGGGCACCTCCAATTTCTCCGACCCTCATTCAACCACATGAGAGGGAGAACAGCTGCACTGGCAAAAGGCGACTCCGCTACACCCAAGAGCTACCACTGGTTTTCATCACGTGCTGCACTTACCAGTTTTGTTGAGCATTTGATTATTTTACACACTTGCAGCTGAGCTGCACATTACTTTTTAATAAGCTGCTGTTTAATAAAGTGCTTGATTACACACCTCATTGATAAGGAGAGCGACTGGCAAACAAAGAGGACACAGGAAGTGTTATTCAAAGCTTTTATTGAGCGGTGTGACTTCCTTAAGATCATGTAAAAGCAAATAGATTAAATGACATGAATATTCTACACCCCATACATCTCCCTATGACACTTGAGGATAGAGGAACACAAGACACTTCAACCCCTTGAAGCAGTCCTAATTTTCAGACAGGGCTCCCTAACAAGGGCTAATAAATACACCTTTAAATCTGTCTCTGCCTCCTAGCAAAAACTGTCCTCCTCAACCTTTTCCAGGAATGGATAAAGCACATGCCCGTCACACTACTAGGATTGAACCCATCATCATTCAAACAGGTCTGCCAAAAATGCAACCTTACCTTCTGCACACCAGCGCTGTACCAGACCCAGGACAGCAACTTCAACCAGCATAAGCCTATCCAACTCTTATCCCTTCCAGCAACTGTGAAGATATAAAAAATATTCAGGAGACAACTTTCCTGTTTCATCCCACCAGGTGTCCACGTGCTCACTGGTACTGGCACAAAGGAGGCAGTGCTGACTGATGGCAAAGGCATGGATAGACTTACGCTTATTGAAATATATTTGTGCCCATCTTCTGCCAGGTCCCTCTGCCCTTTTTCTAAAACAAGGGCAGAAAATACCTCAGGTCCCTTCAGATAGGTAACTTGGATACCTAAGGGTAGGTAGAGATAAGTTGTTCATCTAAGGTGATTAGATAGCAACTCACAGCCAGTCATCAGTTTCTATATGGTCCTAACTTACCCTGGACTTTCCTATGTTCATGTCATAACAATAAAAAATGATACACAAGTTCTCACAGTGTCCCAGAGAATTCCATCTTACCACATCAGAGAAATCACTGCTATTCCAAAGTCTGCACAGCATTATCTCTATGCTCACAGTTTTAGACCAGAAATTACTCTCAATAACCAGAATAATCAAGAATTGTAGCAAATTAAGTTTAGGTGACATGAATGCGGGGACTACACAATCTCCACCAGGCAGCATGGCAACCTCCACAGGGAAAATACCTTCTTCTGCATGTGAGGTGTGTAAGCATCTCTTTTAAACTCTAAATGAGTAGGTTATTGCCCACAACTACCTCCAGCCCTGAAGCACAGACAAAGGGGCTCAGCAAAGACAGACTCACCTAAAATTAGCACCCTGAAGACCAACAGACACAGACAGGGAAAGGGCATGCAAGATTCTATGCTGTTACATGGAGAGAAGTTCCCTTGTCAGAATTTAGGACCACAGCATAAGCCTCCCAGAAACTGTAAGAATATTTAATCAGGCCCATGCAAATGCAGTACAGTGTGGTCACATAATGCAGCTCTGCTGAGCCTACCTGTGCCTGCCCATCCACACCTCTCAAGTAAGACGGTACAGACACCCTTCCTCCCATAATTTCTCCCACCCCTATCAGCACATACAGGGACCTTTCCCAAAGAACAAATCTCTCCTGAAGTCCACGCTAAACAACAAAGGCCACAGAAAATCCAACCTTTTGCTCTACATCCTTAAAATGTGCAGTGAAGACAATCACTGACAAAGCACAATACCAACTCAAAGGCTCAGAGAATTAAGTGTTTTATGAGTTTCTCATGTCACTATCCCCTTTTCTGAGAAAATGGTATCTCTAGCAACTATTCTCTTCCTTCTGACAAGTAAATGGATAATCAACAGTAGCCATGATATAAAGGCTGTATAAGTAATCACTCTTTTTAGGTACTTTAAAAAATCATTCTAAAAGAGTCTTTTGCAACAGACATGTTGCCCACTACTCTCACAAGCATAACTTTCAAGAGTCGTGAACAACACTAACACTTCTTGTCAAACAGACAACTATATGTCCTTTAAAGTTTATTTTTAATGTATTTAACAACACTTCAGTGCATTATTAATCCAGTGGGGATGCACAGCTGTCCTAGACAGATTCTGACTCCGTACAACTCCTTCCCCAAAGCACTGGAGGAGACAGACACTCACGGACACTGGTGATCGAATTCAAGGTGTACCCAGACAAACACAGAGAGCTTTTCAATTTCCCATCTGCTATTATGTAAAAAACACTTGAACTACTTGGTTCCCTTGGGACTGGAACAAGCTCTTGGCAGATTCTGACACACTTCCAGAAATCAGTCTGGGGAAAAAGCCAAAAGAAAAATTCTTTAAAAAAAACCCTCAAAGCCTAAGCTGCAGCTATCTGCTTCTGTACAGGAACATGACGAACGCTTCCCCTCGGTGCTCCTGCC